CACAGAGACAAAAACGAAAAAAAAACAAAAAAAAAACGAAGAAACGACAAAGAAAGCGCTGAATATCGAGCAAACACTTAGACAGCCGATACCAGTTATGCTACACGCCTATGTCTCCTTTTCCCACCGTCTCTCGCCATCTCCTGTCACTAGCGCCTGGCCTCTTTTATGCTGATGGTGCATCGGCATCGCGAAGGATCTGCATAACACACTCGAGTGAAGAACCGAAATTAGGGTCGAGTTTTAGGTCGAAAATGCCTTCCTGGACTGGAGGGAAATGAAGCTTATCTGCGCGGTGATTGAATACCGTGAATGGTTATGGCGGTGAGAATGACAATGATGATGTTAGCAGTGATGGGAATAATGGGGGTGGTTATTATGAGGGTCGAGATGATGATGATGATGATGATGATAATGATGGTGATGATGATGATGATGATGACAATGATGATAATGACAATGATAATGATAATGATGATGATCTTAATCATAATAATGATGATGATGATAATACAATGTTGACACTGATGATATATAGTTATAATGATAATAGCGATCATATGAGTGGAATAATAGCAATAAAAATCACTTTATGAACATTGATAATATTACTGATATTAATGGTAATGATAATAATAACAATAATGATAAGGATAATAATAGGAATGTTAACGGCACTAATAATGATTCTTCAGAACAGGATATAAATAACGAACTTTTGGAAATATAGATGTGGACTGGAAAGCTTCCTCAGCAAAATAAAATAGTATTACCCGTAATGATGTTACCGAGTAAGTGAAACGCGGTGGTAAATCCCGCAGACTTTCGGCGTTCTTCTGTGGATTTCAAAGACGCTTCTACACCTACTCAACAAGAAAGGTACTAATGATCCTCAAAAAAAAAGAAAAAATGTAAAAATCCCGCTGTAGAAGAGAGAATTCTTAGGAAATAAAAAAAGTTATATAAAAATCCTGTTGTAGAAGTGAGAATTCTTAAAAAAAAAAAGAAAGAAAAAAAATGTCTTGAGTATCTTTTCACGAATTCCTCTCTCTCTCTCTCTCTCTTGCTCATCTCAAAAGAAAAAAAGAAAAAGAAAAAAAAGGAAATCTTTACAAGATACATGAGGTGCTCCGGTGTCTTTAAAATCCGTACAAGTCTAGTCCAATTTTCTGTTAATTCATTACGCCGACGTGCCCTTACGAGCGCTGGGGTCGCTTTTCTCAGAGGAAAAAAAATCTTTTTTCATAGACATATTCTTTGTTTATTTAATCAAAGCCACGTGTCTCGACTTGTAACTTTCAAAGTCCTCTTTAGTAAAGTTTCTTCATTACTTTTTTTTCTCTCATTTTAGTACTGGTTCGTCCTTTCTTTTATATATATTTTTCTCATTATTTTTTAATAATTATTTCTTACCCTCTTGTGTGCATCAGAATGACATTTCTTTCATGAAAAAAGACATAAGACATACTAAAGGCGCGAGAACAAAACATTTTTGAAATTCTTGCGTTCTCATAAGAAAATAAATGTAGAAATAGTAGCCTACAATGTATTCAGCGGACGTAGACAGTTAATTGACTCAGAGAAGCACGTTCACATTTGCTCGGTTCGTTAGGTAAGAATTGAATCAAAGCCTCGAAAAAATCTGCTCTATAATAGTGAACTCTATTTTGGGAATCAGACCAATTTCATGTGATTAATCTCGTTTTCGTATCTCATAACGCATCACACATTTTACACTAGTATTTTTAACAACATATCTGCGTGCTTTAATCATCCCAAAAGCGCTCGGTAAAACGGCTGAATCGGCAGTTACATGTGACTGTCTGAGAACTACGAATAATAAGGCATGAAAAGCAGTTGTAAATATCAGAACCAGAGTATATAATTGCTTTGGCATTTAAAAATATAATAGACTTGGCTTTTTAAAGAAAATGTAACGGTCCTGAGTATATAATGATCTTGGCCTACAAAGCGTCCTCGTTGTTTTTGCGATCTTACTTTCAAAAATAAAAATAATGTACAGTTTCTTTTTCCGCGAATGCAAGCCTTGCTCCATTTAAACATCCCGAGTACACTTTGAGTATGAATGTGAGTATATGGTTATGCAACTACACTCCGCCGTGCTTGAATCGAATGACGTACATGAAGATTTCATTTTTACGCTTGCCTCGGATCCTCCTATACTGCAAGAGGGCATATACGTTCCAATCATCATTGCTCTTCATTAAGCGCACTCCAATGGCTCTGGACGTAGCATCAACGGGGATCTGGAACCACTATCTGCAAACATGAGCACTAGCATTTCGTAATGAGTTGTCTTGAATAATGTCTTTGGCGGCCCCACGCTCCGCCCTCATCCCACAGCTGCCACCAATGTCGAAGGGAAACTTTTCCTTGCATGATAAATAAACCATTTCGAGCAACTAATGAGTAATGCTTTTCATACTATCTTATCTATTCTGGTCTGGTTAAACATGTCATGTGTCAATATAAATCTAGG